CTAACAAGACCAGAAGTTTGAACTACGCAACAGAAATGAGGACTCCACTAAGAATCAAGGCCAATATTGACATATAAAAAATATCAACATGATTTTCTGCTAACCCAGGAATCACTGGACATAACTTTAATTTCCCTGTGAACAAGGACTCAGAGATTTGGGTGAGGAGATGAAGAAAACAACTGAAGAACAGCATGTAGTGCTTTAGAAATAAATAGGAAATTGAGCACAGCTAGCAAAACTTATTCCATGCCTACTGAACCTGGACTGAGGAATGATTGCTATGTCAGAACTTCAAACAGTGCATAACACTTCCCACACAATCAATCTCTAGGGATGATAGTTACAGAGATAATTAGCAGACAATTCTTCACTTGTATCTCTCTTCCTTGACTGTCTTTCTCTTAACGCTCATCTACAAGTTCAGATACTCGAGTAGAGGATACTACTGGTACTTAGTTGTAACTCAGGCTTCCCTTCCACAATGTTATTTCTTAAATGAAACTTATTTACTTTTTTTTTCACGATAAGTATCAACCTCAGGAATACTTTCTTTGAAAAGTTATCTCATAACTTTAGTATTTATTTCTGCATACCTTTTGTTGAATCAAATGGCATGAGTAAACCGAACTTGTATGTATGTAGAGAAAAGTACACTTACACTTAGGCAAGAAAAAACAAAAGATGTATTCAGAATACAAAAATGTGTATAATTCTCTGAATTAATGCTTAACTTACTTAAGTAATAATTGTCACTTGTAAATCCCAACCGACCATATTTTTCGGAGTATAAGATGCACCTTCCCCCCTCCAAAAAAGTGTGGAAATGTTGGTGAAAAATGGGTCATTTTTAGCAAAAACAGACATTTTTGCCTTCCCCCAGCCCCCAGAAACATTCTAAAGGCTTCATTGGGGCTGGGGGAAGACAAAAATGCCAAATTTTGTGGGAAACGGCCCGTTTTCTGCCCATTTTTTGCAAAAATGGGGATGTTTTTGCCTTCCTTCCTCCAGCCCTGCTGAAGCCTGCAGAGTGCCCCTGGGGGCTGAGGAGGACAAAACCTTTTTTTTTCTTACTTACTCTTCGAAATCTTGGTGCGTCTTATAGATCTTATAGTTCTGAAAAATACGGTAAATTGGTTTGATCAAGTGGCAGTTGGCAAATAAAATTTCTTATCACATTTTTACTTTGAAACTGAAATGCACAAGTGTGGCTTTCATTAATTTGCAAATACATTTTCCAGATCCTTCAGGGAATAAGAAGGACACATTCTCTATTCTGGAAAGCTCTGAAATAATTAATAGTGCAATCTTACACATGCTTGCTGAGATATAAATATTTCAATATTTAATGGGAGCTGTTTCCAAGTTAATAGGAATAAATCATAACCAAAATCTCAACATAGTATCCAATTTAGCGGGGAGTATATATTATTAATTCATTAGAATTGGTATAATGATATATGCCTGTACTCCAAGAAAAACTCCAGATTGTCTATGAATGAGGAAGACATGGAAACATATGTTTTGTTATATTGGTTTTATTTACAAATATACAAGTATTTCATAATTGGGGTCAAAAGGCCCTTTGCAGATCTATTAGCCCACATCTTTTTCTTAGGAGAAACACCTTCACCTCCAGGTAAAGCTAATAAGGTCGCATGGACATCTCCTTAGAAAGGGGGCAGGCTTTATACTTTCTTCTGCCTACGAACATGGTGACAACAATAGATGGCATACCATGGGGCAGTCTCCCTTTGGTGTTGTCTACCCTTTCTGTTAAATCGGGCAGGAATGGTATGCTCTGGAGTATGCAAGAGAAGACCATCTGGTGGGATCTAGGAGGAAAGCCTTTTCTGCCATAGTACCTGGGAACATCATCACTCCAGAGATCAGACTTGCCTTGTGCCTGTTGGGACTTTGATAGTATGAATGAGCCAGGGGTGGTATTCACTTATCTTTCCTACCGGTTCGAAAATGTGAGGGCCTAAATCAGGAGTGAAATCCAGCAGGTTCTGACAGGTTCTGGAGAACTGGTAGTGGAAATTTTGAGTAGTTCGGAGAACTGGCAAATGTCATCTTTGGCTGGCCCTCGTGTGTGGTGGGAATGGAAATTTTGCAATATCCTTCCCCTGCCATGCCCACCAAGCCACGCCCACCAAGCCACGCCCACAGAACCGGTAGTAAAAAAAATTGAATTTCACCACTGGCCTAAATGGGATGCTGTAGAGCCAGGGTGGGTCGGCGGAACCACCCTAAATTTCCACTACCAGTTCTCCAGCCCCTGTCAGAACCTGCTGGATTTCTCTCCTGATTTAGGCCCTCACATTTT